AATCGAATGAAATAAATAAATAAATAAATAAATAAATAAATAAATAAATAAATAAAGGTAGAGCAAGGCACAGTGCCCTATGGTTTCTGATTCTGTTGCTCTGGCAGTACGCAGCTCCATAATAATCTGCTGCAAATGTTTCCCTGTAGGATAAATAAATAAATAAATAAAGGTAGAGCAAGGCACAGTGCCCTATGGTTTCTGATTCTGTTGCTCTGGCAGTACGCAGCTCCATAATAATCTGCTGCAAATGTTTCCCTGTAGGATGCTTTCAAATTCATCACAGATAAACATGCGCATACATTAATATAAATGAAAAGCCTTCTGTGTACATCTACCAATTATTGAGTCCAGTGAAATTTCAATATTCTAATTAAATTTACTGTCAATGAGAACACGGCTACTGCTTTAAAATATAATTCCAATTTAAAAGGGTAAAGGTTCCCTTGCTCGAAAGCCAGTCGAATCCGACTCTAGGGTTGCGGTGCTCATCTCCGTTTCCAAGCCGAAGAGCCAGCACTGTCCAAAGATGTTTCCGTGGTCATGTGGCCAGCATGACTAAACACCAAGGCGCACGGAACGCTGTTACCTTCCCACCGAAGTGGTCCCTATTTATCTACTTGCAATCTCTTGCTTTCGAACGGCTAGGTTGGCAGGAGCTGGAAGTAGAGACAGGAGCTCACTCCATCATGCGGCACCTGGGTCTCGAACTGCTGAACTACCGACCTTCCACAGCCTGCAGTTCAGCGTCTTAACCATTTGAGCCACCGCAGCTCCAAGTAAATTCCAATTTACTCAGTAAATTATGAGTAAATTCCAATTTACTCAGTAAATTATGAGTAAATTCCAATTTACTCAGAAGTAAATCCTCTCAATTTAAATAGGACTAACTTCCAAACAAATGTACATAGTAATGCAGCCTTAAACTTCTCAAATATCTTTCCAAACCACTCAGTAATATTGAGTCCTGCTCAATTTTAAAACTGACTACAAAATGCACAGTTATTACATCAGTTTATAGCCTCAGCCAGTTAACCGCAACCCAAGAAGTACCATCACAGGTTCCTTGACAACGGTTGTCTCAACCCCTCCCCTGAGTTTGCAGAATCTGAATATGCTTTTTAGTGGCATAATCAAAGCATATGCTGAAGGTAAGTATGTGGAAGATAGGAAACTAATAGGAATAATATTATTTATTCCGAGTGTACAACAAAAAAGTTTTCTATTGTGCAGAAAGTTTTTGGACGGTGCCTGAGAGCAATGGAATTCCCAGACTGACCAGAAAGCTGCTCGTCGGAGGGGGAGAGGTTGCCTTGTCACTTTAAAAGGAATAGAAGTCTCCACTATCCAATTCAGATCATTTTAGAAGGAGGTTGTATGAACTTTTCTACTGAACATAAGTTGTTTTGAAGATTTTTTAACTTATGAGCTCAAATATTCTGTAAGAGGCCTTCAAAGAAAGGCAAAGGTCTCGAAAAAAATAAGATAAAACTGGGCTCAGATTAAAGCCCACTTAGAAGTATGTTGCTCTGGAAATATTTAAAGTGCTAAAAGGTATAAAATGAAGAAATTATTCTGTGAAGACATGCAGTTTCTCCCTGGAGGTTGGCAAACAGCAAACATCCACTTGGCATTTTAAAAGTATTTTTTCTTTCTCTAGGCAGGGAAGTCTGGGCAATGGCTTTCCAGCGTACCTTTATGCAAATGCTAATAGATCTAGCAGGACAGATATTGGGATGGGCCAGCTAACCACCACTTCTTCAAGCAGGGAATACAGGTTTGGAGGATTGAAACTAGAACAGCTCCAAGACCAGTCTCCAAGAAATGTCCTGGAGACCTCCAGGAAGTGCATCTTTGGCCTGGTCAATTGCGGGAGACAGAGCTTTGCTAAAACCTCCTTGCAAGGGGAAGGTGGTCTCTTTTCTTTGGGATGCTTTGTTGGGCAGACCTCTGAGCTGAGGTTTGCAATCAGGCAGCCATTGACCATGTGGTCAGCCTGGACATCTGAAGGGAGCCTGAAGGTAATGGCAAATCAGTAGAGATTTGTAACTAGCTAAGATAAAGAGCCTGTCCTTTTACCACCAGATAGGACATGTTTATTGAGAGTATAGAGTATTTGCATTTTTACCAATTTCTTTTGGTTTTCCTTGCTCAAATCTGGTGATATGCTGGTGTTATTTTAAATAAATACTTTAACCCTTGCTCAAATCTGGTGATATGCTGGTGGAAGTGGTTCTCTGCACCACGTAGACCTCCACCGTTTCAGACACGCTTTTTAAAAAGGAGTGCCAGAAGGGGGGAAGGCAGTCTGTGGGCAACTGGCTATACCCCCAGGGACATGCAAGGCAGTAACCTGTCCCTGCGGTAGCCAGGTGCTGGGCAATGGGAGACATAGAGGTCATGGTAAGGCCTCAGGATGTGGAAGGAAAGCTGGGAGCCCTGTCCCTCCCAATGGGCAATTCCTTTAAAAAGGTAGCTGGTGGTAGCAGCTACTGGGCGAAAGAGGGGAAAGCCCCTCCAGGGAGTTGGGAACCCTGAGGAGGGCAGGGTAGAATGGGGACTGCAGGCCACAACTATCAGTCATTATTGTGGCAATCTCCTCACCAACCATACTTTAAATCCCTCCATGCCTAGACTCTCCTATAAAAGGCTTTAGCTTTGCCAGTGCCTTGTGTCCTCTTAATCTTCTTGCCTCCCTATATTTGGAGAGTACTTTTCACACATCAGTACACTGAGAGGGTCTTATCAAGTCCCTCTGATGACAGCAAATGGCTTTTTATGCCATCTGGTATCTGTTCATAACTTTTTCAACAACTCTTCCATTCAGTACTAGGAATATATGGAAAGATATAATTTGACAAATTAAATAGGCATAAATGGTGGAGTTGTAAAATAAAATCTATGGCAATGATTGTTAGCATCATAATTTTTTTTCTTGCCCTTTCCCTCAATTTCTTTGGTATTTTGCCTTTCTTGTGTTTTTGTCTGGTTTGTTCAGTTTTGTTAATATATAATAATGGATAATAAAAAGTTAAAATAAAAAATATACTGGGAGGGCCGTATTAAGTTTCTTTGATGACAGCAAGAATCTGTTTCAGATGGTTCTAACTGGGTATTTTTACTATTTACACAATGAATAATTTCCTGGCTTGTACTGCATTTTAAATGTCTACCTTTTATCTATCCTTCGTATAGGGTTGCCAGCCTGGAGATTTCCTGGAATTACAACTGATCTCCAGCTGACAGAGATCAGTTCCCCTGGAGAAAATGTCTGCTTTGGAGGGTGGAGTAAATATACCCTGCTGAGGTCCCTCCCCCTCCCCAAACCCCGCCCTCTCCAGGCTCCACCCCCAAATCTCCAGGTATTTCCCAATCTGGAGCTGGCAACCCTACTTTTGTAGTTAAATGAAATTAAACCTTGAATTTAGAATTGCCTACTCTTCATTTCCATGATGTCTCCTCTAAACATGCACACGTATACATATGCAAATGAGCCAAGCCGGGGCGGCAGGCACACGAGGGAATGTGAATGTATACCTTCGTTCCATGGTAACAGTTGCATTAATAATTCTAAGACTAATAAACATTAATACTGCTACAAATAGGGAAGTTTTAAAGTGACACTTTCTGGAATTGTAACATGGCCTTAAAGCAGAAATATTCAAATGTTTATAACGCACCCTATAAAAATTACTTTGTAAGAGAAAAATAATATAACAAGTTAATCTACTTACTCCTCTTGTAAAATAAATTCAGAGTTTTCAGGAGAAAACTGGCCAGTCACAGGATGCTTAAATGTTGTAGTCTGTTGATTATGGCTGAAAAGAAAACCATAGTAGACTTTAATAAGCAAGCAAGCATATCTCAGAAAAAAATTATATTATTTCATTGGCCCATTTCCTGCTTCTCCATAGTTGCAATTTTCAGCAGTGCACTGTAGGAATGAAATAGTTCCATCTGTATTTCATAGACTTGTTGGATCTGGTGTAGTGGTTAAGTGTGCAGATTCTAATCTGGGACAACTGGGTTTGATTCCCCACTCCTCCACTTGCAGCTGCTGGATGACCTTGGGCAAGTCACAGTTCTGTCAGAGCTGTCCTTGAAAGAGCAGTTCTTGAAAGAGCTCTCTCAGCTCCACCTACCTCACAGGGTGTCTGTTGTGGGGAGGGGAAGGGGAAGGAGTTTGGAAGCCACTCTGAGACTCCAAGTGAAGGGCAGGGTATAAATCCAGTCTCCTCCTCCTTCTCCTTTGTGAGAAATTGCCTACTCTGTTTCAATCCAACTAAGGTAATTGGTTGCATACACTTGTGATAGTTAACCAAACCCAGTTATGCATGTCACTGTTTTCATCCCCCAATGGCCTGCCCTTGAGACTGATCCAGAAGCTCCAGCTGATCCAGAACGCAGCAGCATGAGTCCTGACAGGAACGCCACAGACAACTCCATCAGCTGCACTGGTTCATAAATAAATAAACAAACAAACAAACTGGCTTTTGGTCTTGGATGTCAGGCTGTGCCTAGCAACTGGCAGGAGCTGGAGAAGTAGGGGAGAGACATAGAAGGAAACTGGAACTGATTTTTGGCAACTCCCAGAGAGGACTGGCATTTCCGGGTTTTACCCAAGAGTGATGCCACACCATCAGCCCAATGGCATTTAAAAAAATTCTTCTCCTACTGCTATTATGAGTGACAGTGGGAACGAAGAGTTGATGGCAAGATGTCTCCCACCACAGTGGGAGACCTGACAAACCCAGTCCTGAAGAATGAAGTCATCCATACAAACTTTTTGTATTCATGCAAGTATATCAAATACAAAATATTTTGTATTTTATATATCAGTTTGTAGAACGTATGTTGCCAATTTTTTTGTCAGTAGTTCAGCAGTTCGAAACCCGAGTGTGCCGCAAGAGGGAGTGACCTCCCGTCTCTAGCTCCAGCTCCTGCCAACCTAGCAGTTCGAAAGCAAAAAATTGCAAGTAGATAAATAGGTAGCACTTCGGTGGGAAGGTAACAGCGTTCCGTGCGCCTTGGTGTTTAGTCACGCCGGCCACATGACCACGGAAATGTCTTCGGACAGCGCTGGCTCTTCGGCTTTGAAACGGAGATGAGCACCGCAACCCTAGAGTCGGATTCGACTGGCTTTCGAGCAAGGGAAACCTTTACCTTTACTTAGTATAAACACAAGGTGTTTTTTTAACTATCATATCAGCCATTTTTCAGTGATCATATCATCATGAAAATATTTGCTTATAAATACTTGCTTATACCCCTAAAATGCATTCTGACACAATTGTTCTTCTAGTATTTTACACCTTACTCTTCTGTTGAAACCATGTCTAATAGCATTGCTTTAAAAAAACAAGTGCATACACTTACATGAAATGTTTTTAGCTGTACTAGAGTATTACAAGAGCTGTGGTGGCTCGTGGTTAAGACGCTGAGCTGCAGACTGGAAGGTCGGTATTTCAGCAGTTCGAGACCCGAGTGTACCGCATGACGGAGTGAGCTCCCGTCTCTGGCCCCAGCTACTGCCAACCTAGCAGTTCGAATGCAAGAAATTGCAAGTAGATAAATGGGTACAGCTTCGGTGGGAAGGTAACAGCGTTCCGTGCACCTCGGCATCTGGTCATGCCGGCCACATGTCCACGGAAATGTCTTTCGACAGCGCTGGCTCTTTGGCTTGGAAATGGAGATGAGCACCGCATCCCTAGAGTCGAATTTGACTGGCTTTCGAGCAAGATAAACCTTTACCTAGAGTATTACATGTGAAAATCCTGTTTTGACAATCTCAACCGCATCCCTAGAGTCGGATTCGACTGGCTTTCAAGCAAGAGAAACCTTTACCTTTACCTAGAGTATTACATGTGAAAATTACATGTTTTGACAATCTCAACTGACTCAACATCAGATCCTTTTAGGATTGCCAGATCCCCCAGGGGGGGCGGCATTTGCCCACTTTAGGGGCTCCTGATCCACCAGCCCAGATCTGGCAGGTGGGAGAACTAGGCTTGCAAAGTCCCCCCGGGGGGGCGGGGAAAACCCCACCCCAGAGGCCCGTTCCCTGCCGCTGGCAGATCGGGCCCCGGGGGGAACCCCACCCCCAAAGCACGCGATGTGCACGTCACCCGGAAGTGATGCAACCACTCCGGGCACGCTGGGGACGGGACCATGGTCATCCGAGGGAAAACTATGGTTTTCCCTTGGATGGTCGTGGCCCCACCCCCAGCATGCCCGGCGTGGTCGAGTCACTTCCAGGTGATGTGGCTGTGGTGCACGTGCACTCCCGGAGCGGCGCTGGAGTCCCCTGCTCCAGCGCTGCTCAGACTTGGGAACCCTAGGGAGAACACCACCACCAAAGGGCCTGGATCAGGCCAACATGCCCAGTGTGATAATGTCACCTGGAGGTGATGTCATCGCAGCGTGCATGCACATAGCACACATGCCAGAAGATCCTGGGGGAAGAGCTTCTCCACCCCACCCCCCTGCCGGCAAAAGGTAGGGACCTGGCAACCCTAGATCCTTTCAGTTACTTGCACATAAATTAACACATAATACTAGGTACTTATTCCATGAAATCATAAAATTGTAGAGTTGGAAGGAGCCATACAGGCCATCTAGTCCAACCCCCTGCTCAATGCAAGATCAGCCTAAAGCATATTTTCTTACTTGCAAAGTTAAGAAAAGAATTAGCACATTTGCTAGTTAATACCGATCACTAATACATTCATGAGAACATAAGAGCAACTCTACTCAGTCATACCAGCCCATCTAGTCCTGCATCTGTTACACACAGTGACCAACTAGATTAACCCAAAAGACCTATAGACAAGCTAGATAGGCCAACGTCTGCTCCTGTTCTTGCTGCTCCAACCTACTTCCTGCTACCCTGGCCCAGAGGAAATGTGGATCTCCCTACCTCTTGTTTGGCAGCAGAAGTGCCAGGGCTGTAGTGGTGCTCTCATCCTGTTGAGTCTGTGGAGCAACGGGTTCTTCAGAGACACAGGAGATGGAATGGCTGATGTTTACCTCCTTCACGTGAGGCCCATGAGGCCTCATGAAAGACATTAGAGAAGGGAAAGAGAGGGCAATCCTAAGCAGGTTTACTCAGAGCCCAACAGGTCTATTCAATGGAGCTTACTCCCAGGAAAGTGATTTTAGGATTCTAAATACAGACTCTAGGACAGAACATATGAGAACTGTTCAGGTGTGGAAGGAAATCATATCAAGATTAGCAATGCTTGCAAAACTGCAAGAGAGCTCCTTTTTCACCAACATAATACATTGTTTGCTGCATGCATGTTCAGAAGGATATTTTAACTTGGACTGATCATTTTACATTAACATCTTGTAGCCTACTAAAACCTACTTGTGACAGAGATCTTGTCTAAGAAAAGAGAACTATATGGAGAAAGCAAAAGATGAGAAGAAAGTCTCAATTTCAAATTACTTTCAATTTGAAATAAGAAGGCATAGAGTTCAGAATCAACACTGAATTATATGTGGATTAGGAGAATATATTGGGGACACAAAAAAGGCAAAATGTGATGCAAGCAGAATACTTATTTGCTTATTTATCCCCTGGTTTTGCTGGTGACAGGAAAGGGGGAAAGGAAGGGGGAAGGAGACATATGTTAACTAAAGTCCTTTTACCCACCTAGGAATCTATCAGTATAATTCTGAGGATCAGATAATTTGTTGCATTTTAAGAGTAGGTAGAACAAACACTGGTATCTAGAATCCAGTGTAATTTCAACATTTTCCATAGAATTATTCTTCCTAATAGTTCCAACGACACCCTTGACATAAACGATTTATAATATCTAGCTATTTAAACTAATTGTCTGAGATCCAAAGAGGCCTGTGGGTGCATGCAAAGTAAGACGGTGAACTCCTTATTTTCCTTTCCAGTGGAAGTCAGTTACAGCTCATGAAATGGCACTCCGGAGAATATGCAGACTTCTGAGAAATGCTGCCAGAGGGGGAGACTGAAAAGCTCTCGTGTGTATATCCTTGGATCCCAGTTACTGCAATTTAAGATCACTATAATTACTCTCTACATCCAAAAAGAGGAAACATGGATCAAATGTGGTTCACACATACAGAGGGTGAATTGGAAAAGTTTCAGTGAAGATCTGGATAGGTGTCTTGGATGGGTCCCTCCAATACATAATAACTACTGCCGATTCATTGGAGCTGTTACATCTACGGCGAAATGGCACATTCCTCAAGGATATCAGAAAGAATATATTCCAGGCTGGAGCGACCAGAGCGAGAGGCAGCTTATCCCAAGTCCAGGAAAAACAGAATGCTCCTGTTTCCATCTCAATAACAATCTTGCCAACTGTGAACTGAATGTCTACCTTAATGTCACCCAACTTATGCACAACCATATACCTAAGTACTTTGGCATTACCCTGGACAGGACCTTGAGCTATAAACTCCATCTTACAAATGTAGCAGCGAAAATATGCATGCAGAACAACATTCTCTAAAAATTATGTGGTACAACTTGGGGGGGCGTCTGCTGCAACACTTAGATGCTCAGCTTTGGGTTGCTGTATAGTACTGCAGAATATGGTGCTTCAGTGTGGCTCAACAGCCCCCATATTCACAAACTTGATGTCCAACTCAACACAACAATGAAAATCATCAGTGGATGTATTAAACCCACGCCGACCTATTGGCTACCCACATTGTGCCGCATCACTCCCCCACATCTCCGAAGACAAGATACTATTCTTCGTGTATATAGAAAGATTGAAAACAGAAAGTTGCCCATTCACAAAGATATGGCTGATGCAGACTAAGATCCCGACAC